AAAAAATCGCCGATCAAAGAGATTATAACACCATTTTCTTGCATCTAAAAAATGTAAAAACAGTGTTTATTTACTACTTATTTTTCATATACATGGGACTACCGACATACCTACTACTGCAGAAACGTCATTTTCTCCAGGATTCTTCATGTAATATATATTTTATATACTTTATTACCTTTATATTTATAAATTTCAGCCGAAATATTAAATTGAACTTCCAAAACGAAACTAAACGGAATGAATTAAAATGGCGTCGAATATTTTCGAATTTGTTCTAGAACAACTCTGAAGTTGTCTCTGAAACTGAAATCTGTCAATTCTAAACTGTGAAGTTAGACAATAGTTAGACAAAAACAATGCTGTCCTTGTCTAGGCGGCCATACTTGTCGTGAGGAGAATGACAGGAATGACACTAATGACTGTTTCCAATTTTCCTATTTCACTGTCACCCCCCTGGATGCGTCTGTTGCAGGACTTCAATCTGCATCTGTAGGTCATAAAAATGAATTTAGGAACATTATTATATACATACCTACAGTATTAGTCTAAGATCCGGCCGCAGGATTATTACGCTCATCATACTCGTATTTTTAATCAAAACCTAATTTTTACGTATCAAATGTAACTCAAGAAATTGTTATATTATGTTATTACTAGAACTGAATGTGGATTTTTGTAAAAAAATAAATTTAAATAAATTCACTTTATTCAGCTGTGTAGCAAACAAATGTAACAGTCAAATTTCCTCGCTACGACCTCTGTGTGCTAGCTCATAAATTATCGCAAATAACTATTATTTTTGCATCATGTTCACTATAATTTTATTGTTAAATATTATTTTATTTAAATTTTACGATTATGTAACACGATATACACCGCGATATACAGCTATAGATACACAATATTGTCACTGGACCAGCAGTAGGCTTTTTGTCCATCTCTCTATATCTTTAATCATCACCTCCGTCACTTGTCACTGTCAGATCAAATCAGATGTTTTTGGATTTATTTATCCTTTGTTTTGGTTATTGAAATTTTATAATTATCAGATAAAATTTCGTAGTTAAATTGGTTATTTTTGATGTGGATCGCAGTGGGCAATTCGTTCTTTTAATTGTGGAATTTCTGAGTTTAGTTCGTTCATTGACCGGATATGGAATATGGCTGAGGAGAAAACTTTGAATAAGAAAACTAAGGAAGGAGCATAATGCTATCCATGTATTCATGCATGGTGGGCGGAAAAGCCACCATAAAAGCTAGGGTGGGGATCCTTGACAGTTCTGTTTGACGATTCATTTGACACATTTGAATTTGAATTGAAATTTTGTGGATTTGTCAGTCTTTACGGAGCTTATTTTATGTTATTTATTATTTATTCTACTACTGATAGTTGTATAAAGGTAGTAAATCTAGTTGGAAATTGTGGCAGAACTTAAATTAACAGTGACACTATCGCGATTTATCGAAAAAGACTCTAAAATAGTTGGTTGTGTAGCGTGCGGTAGATCTCGGCAAAAATTGAGTGAAATAATGGAACAACTTTTCGCTAGAAAGTGACTATATAATATACATACGTGTAGTAAACCGATCATTTATGAAATTCGCTTAAATAAACTAAATTATATATTTTTCTTGCATTTTAGCTTTTATTTATTACTTGTCAAAGATTAGATGTCAAAGAATTTAGATACGTTAATTTGACTTACCTGCATCAGTAGCGTATCGGATGTTTGTGTTAATAAATACTTATTATAACTTATCTATTTTTATTAGAATTATATATTTTTATAACAATTTTAATAACTACCAACATTTATTCACAACGTAAAATAAAACAACAAATTATTGAGTCTACCCCACGTCTACCCTACATCATAGTTTTACATTTTTTAAATAAAATTAGAACGACACTGATAAACCGGAATTTAAGTCGGCCATATTTGAGGCCCATCGCGGTGTACCTAAGATTTTTGATATGCTCCTTCCTTAGTCTTCTTATTCAAAGGGAGAAAACATCATTTTTTATTTATGCCTTTTTGTGAGTTGGACTAGTCAAGATATATAGTTCTCTATCTATATCCTGGAGGGAGATTTCCGGTAGAAATCTGATTTTGTGAAGGAAATCGAATCCTTGCATCACTTCTTGTGTATCCACCGTCAGAATATCGTCGTGAAGAACTGGCTGCCGTTTCGTGAAGCATTCCCTGTTGGTGAATAGCAGGTCTTCGTAAAGAAGGATTAAGGCTTCCGAAACACATTTGGTCAGAGACGTGGTTGGATTTTGTTGAGTTCACATGGACCACCGACCAATTTCCGTAAGGGATTAAATAGCCAAATTTTTCCGACCGATATCCCGATTCCACGTGCCCAAGAAGTCCCCGAATAGTTCCAAGAGCAAGAAGACCGATCCAGACTGTACACTGTACAGAACAGAACAGTCCAGAATTCCATCCGTTCCTGTTGCCCGTGTGTAGAGTTACCCGTTGGACATCATAAACCCTCGTTGAGGGTTTTTTATGTTCACCTTTTGAAGTCCTACACCTGGCCGGCATCCGTACGTCTGCTGACATCCGTGGGCTCCAGTGACAGTACACCCATAGATAAATGAAACAAGTTTAGATTGGAAAGTGCCCATAAGGACAATGTAAACACTATTTGGCGCTATTCTTGCAACGGTCGCGACCCAAAACTTTTGAAAATTTCGGAGCGGTTCGGCTTTTTCCGGAATTATATCGCCAAATATTGTTTATTCAAATTTATTATTATTTTCGTTTAATTTTATAAATAAAATACAGTGTGTTGCATACAAGAAACTTTATTTTATATAAGGACGCATGTATGAAATACCTATGAAACATTGGAAACCGACGTTATGCCACGATCCACGATGGTTTTTGCAGTTTACAGTTCTCAGCACAGCTTTTTAAGTTTTTAATGCCACTTTTTCACAATTATTACCGGTTGGAGTAAATAAAACTTGAATTAAACTCACAAGATAGCAATAATTACTTTGAAAATGGACGCTATAAACACTTTTCGGAATTTCTTTAGTGAGAGCGGTTTAGATCTTGAAAGATTATTATGATTTTTGAAGATTCTGACTTTGACAAGAGAAAATTATTTCTGTTTTTGTTTGCCGTTGTTCTTAGCGACCGCTATAGCAGCGCCAGATCGCGTATAACGGTCGCGACCCAAAATAATTTCGCGACCCAAAATTTTTGCGGGCTTTCCAATCTAAACTTGTTGCATTTATCTATGCAGTACACCGAGCTGCTGTGCACCGTCGTAACCACCCTGTAGCTATACACCTTAGCTCAGCCGGAGGAAGTTTTCAAGTACAATCGAATAGAGTAAGACTGTACAATTTTAGTTTAGATTTAGTTTGATATTTGTAATCCACCCAGGATATTGTACTTAGTTTAAGTAAGGGTGATTATGACGTCATACTTTTAGTTAGTTTTCTTGATTTAAATTTTATTCTACTTTTCAACGTTTATTCATTTCCATTTCTTTAAATATTAACTTTTTGATATTTTAATAAATTGCTTAAATATTTTTAGTAGTATTATTTACAGTCTAGTCTCATAGTTAAGTTAGAGTCACTTAAGTTCAAGTAATTATAGTATATTTGAAGTTCATGGTAGTTACACTCAACAGTTCGAGGTTAGTGTTGAAGTCTACTTAACAGTAACATCTTTTATGCCGAGTTCATAGAGTATAATCTCGTGGCGCCCTTTTATTAATATCTTTGAACCCCGACCACCCGGCTGTTAAAATTAAAAAGCTAGTGGCCTCTATGCAACTCATCCTAATTAAGTAAACTTTGTGTTTTATTGAACGTCGAATTAGAAAAGGGCGTAGCACAAAGACACGGATAAAGAACTAAGCTTAGAATAATTGAACAAACTAAACTATGAAGCAGAACCTTCTGTATACAAAAAGGCACCAATGCTTAGCCTTTGCAGATAATTTAGTTTTCTTAGCAAGATATTGGAAAGAGTTGATATCGGTGTTCAAAATAATAGAAGATCAAGCGCAAAAAGTAGGCTTAGTGTTTAATGAGAATAAGACTAAGTTTATGGAGTGGTCAGGTAGGGATTTTGAGAAGGGAACATGTCTACAAATAGATTCTGTGAGAGGGAAACAATACGAGTTTGAGAAAGTAGATACATTCACATATGTAGGAACCGTATTTCTAAGGAACCCAACCCAAATGTAACTCAGGAAATTGTGGCAAGAATAATGGCAGAAAATAGAGTGTTAGCGCACTACAAACAATTATTAAGGGTAAGAACATCTCTAGAAGCTTGAAAATCAGAATGCACCAAACGATGATACGACCAATAGTGTTGTAGGCTTGTGAAACGTGGACGTTCAATGCAACGGAAAATTCGAGGCTAAAGATTTGGGAAAGAAAAATACAGAGGAAGATTTTTGGAGGAAAGAAAATGAACAACAAATAAACCAGAAGAACAAATAATGAAGAATTAAAGCAACTGTATCAGGCACCGATTATAACGGAAGTAGCAAGAGCACAAAGACTCAGATGGCTGGGACACAAGCTCATAGCAAGGCGGATCATATGATTTATAAATATACAGGGTGTTCCTTTTAAAAAAAACAACTTTAGTTCATATTTTCGAAAATATTTTTTTCGTAGAGAAACAGACTACGCCACTGGTGATCTACGTAAAAATTTCTCCAAGAATCAGTTTTCACCTTCTCGATATCATCCATAATAACGGAGATACGGCGGATGTCGCAGACCCTGTAGCTCAGAAACGAAGAGGGCTATGAAAATTTTGTTGACAGCATCTTCCGTTTGACAAAAAAGTGGCACAGGTTTGTGCAAACCGCATCGTTCTATCTTTACTAATAATGGAGATACCGTATGATTTCAACCAAAATGGGACACTCTGTACACAAACTAATTATAGCTAACACAAACAATACACATCATTTAAAGTTACCGAGTCGGAAAGAAAAAAGGTACTTACCTCGAACTCCAATTTATACAGGACGGGAAATTTCTTGCGCTGCTCGCACAGTTTCATGAAGTAGGAGATGTCGGTAGGGCGGTCCGTGATAGCGTCCGTAACTGTTCCGTTGTCATCTGCAAAACGTAAGATTTCCATATTCAAAAAGACAAAACGGACTCTACATAAGCCAATACGAATACTAGAGAAACAACTACACGTTCAAATTAGACTCTTGAAATGCAACAAAAGCTTTCGCCTATTAATAAGTTAAAACTAATTATATATAATATAAATATTAAGGTAACATCTTGTATCGATTCTGTGATACCACGTATTAATAAATAAAAAGAAAAATAATAAACAAAAAATAAGAAGATAATAATATGAATAAAAGAACCAAAGACTAAAATTAAATTACAGTACTAAAATAAATTTTCACAATTTTAAAGCATGTGATTCACATTTTGTAAAATTTTCCATGTGAAAGTTAACAAAACAATAGTATATTATTTTATTAAAAGTAAAAATGATTTCTCTTGTTACCGAAATAGTGTAAGCAGTATAATGCCGATTAAAAGTTGTCTCTGATATTTTGTCGATTTAGGCCTCGTTGATGAGATAAACGCTATTTTATTAATTTGCCTTGATCCAAGTCTAATAGCAACCTTTAAAAAAATTAATATCATTAACTTGCGAAAGTATTAAGTAAGTATACTCTGTTTTTTTTCTCAGGTAAGATTTCGACAGACGATGACAGAAGAAAAGCAGATGACGTCCCATACCAATCTATTTATTTTACTAAAAAAAGTTTCTAATAATTTTAAGTTATCTATGGATGGGTTTAAATATAAATCCGTTATACGTCGTGTCTTGTTGTTTTTAACCAGTTTTATTGGTTTATTTAAAAAATGACAGATCGTATTTCAATTTTATTGCTTTGACGGAACGATGAACGATAAAGGACGCCGATGCGTATGAACTCGCCTTTAGATTTTTGTCATTTTTGACGCTTGTCAAAGTCTTGCCAAATTATAGGTTATAATTTTGTGTCAACTTTTGTTAAATACCCTGCGTTTTGGAAGATGATGCATTTTGATTCGTATTATTACGTGTGTTTTGTGTCTTTTCAAGTCAAGTGGAGGAAAAATCGAGTGAACATTAACTGTAGACTCAGAGCACAGTTTATGGTTAATACTCGCTGCCCAGGCAGAAAGTCTTATACACCCCATCGTTAAAGTTTGTATACTATCTCGTCGTAGATAAGTGCATCTCGTATATGGTAGAAGGATCAAACTAAACACATACTAAAAACTGGAGTAGGTGTAAAATATCGACATCACACGATAGGTAAATAATGGATTTTAGTACTGCAGAAAAATAATGTCAAAAGGTACTGGTTTAAAAAAATTAAGATTAAAGTTAATTAATCAACCTTTAAGGTATAAAATTTGGTAGATGATATTATTAATAAAATAGTTTGCTTCATTTACCTATGTTGTTTTATTTATTCCTGTGGAATATTACAAATTTGTATTTGTACATAAGTTATATTGATAAATATAATCATAAATTCGGGTAGTTTCATAAAGCTTGAAAGTAAATAATAGTTCTTTTTCATATTTTTTGGTATGTAGTGTCTTGTTCTTGTTTGTCTTGTATTAACACATACCGTTTTTATTAAATAAAATAACTCGATTACATTTTTTCAGTTTTATACAGTTTTTTTCACAATATTTTGAAGTAATCACTTGTCATCTTGTCAATCAAATTTTAAATATTTCCTGCTATGCGTTCCAGTTGTACCAACTTATTTCTTTGTAAAATAAAATAAACTACTTTGAAATTAAAATGACAGACACATCTATCACTGTCAAGGATCTTCTCGTTGGACAGACTATACTAATTGATTTCTCATCAAAAATATGAAAAAAGTTATAAGCATGTGTATGGAAATGCATAGTTAGAGTTAGATCAGGATGTTAAAACTTCTTAAAATTATTTTTTTTTGTATTTATCTTAAATATCATTATTTTATATTTGCTGTATGTTGGACTAATAGTAATAATATTTAATAATAAATTAGGTAAAATATATAATTTATTAATTTTATTTTTATTTTAATTTTATTAATTGTGATTAATAAAATTTGCGTTCATCTCATCAAGGGGACTGAATTTTACAAAATATCAAGAGATAACTTTTACTTGGCATTAAACGGCCTACACAATTTTGATATCAACAGAAAAAAAAATCAGTGGCGCACATGTTTTTTTTTGAAAAATATTCCAGTGATAACCTATATGCACGTCCCTGATAAATTTATCGACACTTTTTTAGCATTAAAATATGTAGCACTTATAGCAATTTTTACACAGAAGAATCACTAAAAGTACTTGGAAGAAAATTATAATAAATCGAAAGATTATTAAGTCTTTAACACCCTGTAGCTACGAAACAAAGCAGAATCAGACCTATGTTGATATGATATATCCTTACGTAAAAATAAATTTTATTTTTACGTAAGGAATCTTCCCACGAGAGATGGCACATGTTTTTTGAAACACCCTGTATACCCGACGTGTTTACCGATATTATAAAAAATAGAAAATACGTGATGTTACCTATATCACTCTAATCAAAGAATTTTCTGAAATTCTGTCTGATAAACTCTCTACAGTGTCATTTTCAATAAAACAAAACCCGTCAATCTCTAGCACGTATGTTGTAAACGTAAAAAAACCTTTTTCAATCTCGCTAAAACGCCAGAATCTTAGTGCACGTTTTTATAGAGTTGGGATTGATCTTTCTTGCTACTTTTACCAAGATTGAGACGTTTTATTGCGTAAACGTGTTAGATTCTACGCGAAGATGTGAATTTATGATGCTTTTTACTCTCCTTTATCTTTTACTATTCTTGTTTATATTTAAGAATATCAAATAAAATATGTAAAAGATGATTTAGATTTTAAACGAGTATATACTCTGTTTTTTTTCTCAAGTTCAGACGATGACAGAAACTGTCTCATTTTACTGAATTTGTGTATTTCGTAGTTTCCACGATGGCAATGTTGAAGATCCGCCCTATTTAATGACCAACAAATACTAAAATGAATATTTATTAAATTTCGATATTTTAGTTTTAAAGTTCACAATTTTTATGTCTATGATACACGTTTTATAAAATCTCCCATTACCTTTTTATTTAACGTTCTAAGGACATATTTTTTTAACATAAATCAGGAACTAATCTTTTGAAGTATCCTTGATAAGGACGAAAATACACGTCGGAACGATGGCAATATTTTAAATATAAGGTTGTTTATTTCCTGGTCCTAAACCTGTGAACGTGATTTCAACTAAAATAAATATCTATTAAATTGCGATACTTTAGTTTTAAAGTTCACAATTCTTATGTATATGATTGACATTTTATAAAAACTGCCAACATTTTTACATTTATCATCCTAAGAGCATTTTTCCATCTATCAAACATATCTTGAGCCCCTAAGCGTTTTCTTTATCGCTTAACAAAACCGAGAAAGTGATATGCTCGTCCCTCCGTAACTGGAATCGATATTTCCCTCTCACCTGGCTCGTTATCGCGGCTCTATCTTTTCCAGAACGATCTCTGGAAACTCTATCAGATCGGCCGCGGTGAGCTTCATTCTGATTCAAGGTCAGATAGCGGGGCTGCTTGCGAGATGGCGTGAAACTCAAATCGATTTCGCTATTCGTACGACGAAATTGAAGGAAAAAAATGCTTTTTCTCAATAAAATAAACGAAATACTACTTACTCAGTTATTTGTACTAGATTAGTTAAATTAACTTATACACTCAAATGTAAAAAAAACGCAACGGGGAAAAAATTGGTCAAATTTAAAGCGATATATTTTTGTTAATTTTAGCCCTATTTTCATGAATTTTTTAACAAGCTGTATATAATTACAGCAACTTAAATTGGTAAACTAAGTTTTTTATATACTTTAGTATTTGGCATATTATACAGGGTTAATCTAGGGGTTGGTATTTTATCCTAACTTTGACACACCCTGTGCAATAATTTCGTGTGTAAATTTTCCTAAAATATAATTTTACGGTCAGAACTATGTCTCCTGAGCATTTTTTTTTGGGTCATGTCAATACTTGCCTTGGTGACCTTGGCGGCCACTCGATTGGACCCCTTCTGCCAATCCATTGCCGTGGATAATATCTATGCAACCACCGCCTTGTGACAATAGAATAATAATGCGGAGGGGCTCCATCTTGCTGAAAGTGTATGAGGTCTTCACTAAGTATTAAATTTCCTTCCAAATCTCCTTCAGCTGTATATAATTATATCAACTTAAATTGGTAAAGTATATAGTAATACCAACTTAAATTGGTAAGTTTTTTATATACTTTAGTATTTGGCATATTATACAGGGTTAATCGGGGGTTGGTTTTTTATCCTAACTTTGACACATCCTGTGCAATAATTTCGTGTGTAAATTTTCCTAGAATATAATTTTACGGTCAGAACCATGTCTCCTGAGCATTTTTTTTTGGATCATGTCAATACTTGCCTTGGTTAATTTTTAAGAGAGAAACGAACTTGCCACCAACAATTTGCAATTTTTTCAATTATAATTCCTTTTTGAAATTTTTATTTTCAATATGACAAGGCAGCTTTGGTGATTATTGTGAACTATACATGGTGGGCCACTGAAAACTTACAATGGCTATAATTTTTAAACAAAAAAGATATCAAAAAAATAAAAAATACCATTTGATATGATATCTAAGGGGAATACATATGACGTATTTTTTGAACCGCCCCGACCTACCCCTTAAGCGGCACCCCTACTCACTCGAAAATCTTAAACGGCAACACCCCACTTGTGGCGCCTTTTTGGGAAGCCCATAAAAATGCTAAACGATGATCATAACGTTTTTAAGGTGAAATTGAAAAACTACCCCTTACACGAAAAATTAGGTGGACATTAATGAAAAAAGTGATATTTTTCAGTATAAGTTACAAATTGGGACCCAGCTTAATGAGGCAAATGAGGTATTTTTCAAACCACCCCGATCCACCTCTAGGTGCCACCCACTCACTTCTAATCTCAAGATAGCGATACCCCAGTTGTGACACTT